GTGTTGTCAAATCCTCTGTTGACCACTAACAAATCCCCATACATATTAATACAATACCCAAAATATCCCTTTATTGATTGTCCTTGCAATCAAAGGATAAATCAAAGTAAAGTACAATATGCACAAGATTACTATTGTGCCTCAAGTCTAAGGATCAATCATGTACTATTGTAACATGAAAATTCTTATTCGACAAGAAACACTTCCATTTAAGAATTTTCATACGGTCATGTTCAATGAACTTGTTCCCTAACAAGCATCCACATATATATACTTGCATCACATGCTAATGTTGATGGAATACAATATTCTTACTCGATAAGCATATATCATATGTGCAAGTCTTACCGGGTTATTCGATATCCTATCTCGAAATACCCAACGACTTGGAACTTTATTTAAGATCACAGCTTTAAAGACATGTTCCATGATTACCATCTCTATGCGTAACCATATCTTTGTAGCTTATTATGATCTAAAGACTTTATCATATGTATAAATATGATATAAAATGCTTATACATAAGATAAATTAATGCCTTATACAATATATAAATACCATTAGATTATATAATCAAGTAGAATAGATCCAATCTGATTGGAACGCAGGGTATTCTACTCTAACATTAGGCTTGTCCGAACTCAGAATTGAGTTCCGTTTATTCCTACGCGTCGCTAACGAACCCCTCTATCCAATAATATAGTAAACTTGCACTAAACTCTCGACATACAATCCCCACACGACTCGTGTGGAGTAGCCGAACCATATATTTTTTAGGACCAATCTCATTGTTATGGAATATTTGAGTTCAAATAATATAGTCTAAAAAAAAGGAAAAATACAAACCAATCTCATTAATGTTTTACAATAATAATAATAATAATAATAATAATAATAATAATAAAAACATTCATTACATAATTATTTTTGAGTACCGCTGCGCCAGCAGAGGATCATAACCTGTAAAATCCCGCAAGGATTGCGAAAAAAGGCTACAAACACGGTCCATCCACTACAAAAAAAAAATAAAAGGAAAAAAATTTATGTTAAATATTTATAAAAAAATAAAATTATTGTAATCAAATAACAACTACAATTTAACATGAGACTTATGTAGTCGTTGTTGGCACACGTAGGGACCTCGTTCTGGTCCGGCAGATTCTCGCCCAAACATTTAGGATGGGAAACCCGACGGTACCACTGCATGTACTCCGCAGTCGCCTCTGCTCGATCATCTGTGTTGGCCTTATACATAATGAGGTTGACGGTATGCAATACCGGGAACTGGTTCCACATAGATACTGCACTGACATCAGAATGCTCAACCTTGTAGAGCCTCGACTCCCAAGGACGGCAGGCACTGATTGGCGCGAACATAGGGGGAGGGACTGTCTGGACATACCCCAACTGCCGCAGAAACTGCACAGGATAGTACGGCTCGACGATATCGCAGTACCGAATTAACCCGCAATAAATAGTCCTCGGCTTTATCTCGTGCGGGGTAGAGGTGCCGTATGACAACCATTGCACCTGTTCACAATTGCATAAAAACATTTATAAAAATATTTATATTATTTTAAATAACGAGTAACTAAATTTAAATAAAATAATTTTACGTACATCGGAGGCAGCGAGCATGTCAAGTCTCCGACGGATGGCTATGAGACGCTCGTCCTTCCTCTGACCCACCGGTGGGCTCCACATCTGTGATCGTGCGGAGTCGTTAGGACCGAGGGGTAGACGTCCCTCCTGGGGTCGGAAATCGGGGAAATACTCATAAATCCAAGACTGCATAAGAGTTAAGCAGCCGGAAAGCTGTCTAGAGTCCCCTCTGCTGGCAATACCTAAATGTCGGTACAAATATGCCAGCGTAGCCGATCCCCATGAGTAACCCCCAATGGCATCCATGCCGTTAAGCACCTCAGCTCGGAGCTTGGGAGTCACTCTACTACCACTCTTGTCGCCGAACTCAGGCACCAGCCTCATCCAACGCCAACTGGTCTTTACCCCAGAATTTCTCCACAACGGAGCCTTATGCCACAGAACCGCGCTGCCAGAACGTCCCAACGAGGTCAGTCTTACTGACCGAAAGTATATCCATGCAATAATCCGGGCAGGCCTTTGTATCCGGCTCCTCAACGACCATGGATCCCTCAACAGGAATGTCCAAAATGGCCCGGACATCGTGCAACATAATGTTCATTTCACCAAAAGGCAGGTGAAATGAGTTAGTATTTGGCTGCCATCGTTCCACAAATGCAGTAAGCAGTGGAGTGTCCAAGTAGGCGTGCATGGAGTCTACCAGATGTGACAGTCCAGTACCCTTGATCATATCAAGTGTCTCGAAAGACATATCACCTCGCCAATCTTTTAGATTACCGAACCCTTGCACTCTGAGATGGTATTTCAGTAAGCCTCGGCACTCTCCATTCCACAACCGCGAAGCCACGTGCCCTAGAAAGCTAGGGATCACACTGTCATTCATGGGCCCACCGTCCACTGGACCTCTAACGATCCACTCTGCCTCACAATCAGTCCTAGATCGTTTGCTAGTACCTGCATTAGAATAGAACATAATGTCACTAAAACAGGGCTAAGGGTCGTTTTGATATAAAGTGCGCGAAAAACGGATCCAAAACGAGCAAAAAAAAAAAAATCAGTGTCTGTTAAACTCGTGACTCGCAACTTCGTCTCGCGAGTCGCGACTTATCTCGCGAGTCGCAAGATCCGTCTCGCGACTAGCGAGCTTGACAGAGCCGAAATAGCCAGAATCTCGCGACTCGCGACTGTACTCTCGACGCGCGAGATGAGGACGCGAGTCACGAGATTCTGGCACTTTTGGCTCTGTGAAATCGCGACTCGCGACTTAATCTCGCGAGTCGCGAGTCGAGGTCGCGACTCGCGAGTTTAACAAAGCCGAAATATGTGAATTCGCGACTCGCGACTTCATCTCACGAGTCGCGACTGTACCAATAACTTGTGATAACACTCTACTTAATAACAAACAACAATAAGTACGTAAATTATTTACCTGAGGATCCAGTGCTAGCAAAACGCCCCCCAGCCTGTCGTGGAGGAGCAGGATGAACAGGCCGTGAAGGAGCCGCAGGCTGCACGGGAACCGTAGCCTGTGCAGGAATATCGTCTTCGCCCTCATCATATGAAGATGCCGACTCGTCAGAATCCTCAGCCATCTGGGCTACCGACTCATCAACATAATATCCCTGTTGACCGTCCGATGCTGGTGCTGGTGCAGGGGGTATCGAGCTGCCTGACTGGCCAGCAAAAACATATCTATGCTGACTGAGCTCGTACAGTGGTGGTGCAGCATATCCCTGCTGACCAACTGGTACTGGCGGTGTACCATATCCCCTCTGACCAGCTGGTAGAGGTGTCTGCAGTCTCGAACTGCCTGCCTGGCCAGTCTGTACCCTCCGAGCCTCTTGGATAATGAATTCTCGATCCCGACGAGCGGACGCAGTTATACCCCGTTGCTTCGGGTGTCGGTGTCCAGATTCGTCAATATACTCATCCATCTCGTCGTCGTTCCTATCAGATTGTTCAGGCCTAGCAATACCCTAAATCACCAATTTAAAAAAAAAAAAATAGTAAATATTTTTTTTTTAAAATCTTGTAAATATTTTTTTAAAAAAAAATTAATTTTTAAAGTCAAATTAAATTGATTAATTTACTTATAATAACGTTTTAAGTTAATATTAATAACTTATTAATCAATTTCAAATTCAATAAATATTGTAATACTATTATAATAGTAATTAACTAATTTATAATATTCACTATATTTTTTTATTTGTTATAATTAATATTTTAATATTATTTACTTATTATAATTTTTTCTGTATTAATATAATATTTTTTCTTTTAGATTATAATTATTATTATAATTATTTAGTAATAATAATTTATTAGTAATATTTTTTCTAATATAGTATTAATCAGTATAATATAATTATATTAATTTTTTTTAACATAATTATAATACTTCTTTATTACTACAATAATTATATTAATTATATTTTATAATTTTTTTATTATAAATTTATATTAATTTTTATTTAACATAATTATATTTTTTAATATACTTTTTTTTTATTTTATTTTTTATTAATATATTATTATAAAAAAAATAAAAATCTGTCAGGCCGGTCCGTGACCGACCGGGAGGGCCGTTTGAAGTACCGTACGTCTGGCCCCCATATCCGGACAGATGGGGTGCGACCGGTCGGGCCGGGCCGATCGCAGAACCGGGCGACCGGTCGCTATGACCGGTCGCCCGCGGGCCGTACGTGATCGCCGACCGTACGGCCCATGCTGCGTCCGGATGCGCCGACCGGACGCGACTTCAGTTTTTTTTTTTTTTAAAAATTCGTATAAATTAAAAAAAATACCTTGCTCGAGAATAATGATTTGCCTATGCGAAAGATTTTTTCGACGTTTTTTTGGATTTTTTTGAAGCACGAATGACTCGTTGAAGATAAAATTCTAGAGAGATAGAGAGAAAGTAGTGAGAGAAAGTGGCAAGGGTATTTTCGTAAAAGCGGGGGGCGCTAACTAGTAAAAGGGGGCGGTAGCGATTCACTTTTCTTAATTAAATATCTAATGTACGCGACCACCGGTCGAACCGGTGACCTTAACCGGTTCACCGTCCGTTTTAAAAACTCCCACCATTAACAACCCAAAAATAAATTCCAAGATACCATTTTCAGACAACACTACACAGTCTTCACTAACTACACAACTGTACACTTTTTTTTCACTTTTATCAGAAACTCACCCACTCGTGAAAATAAAACTCCAAGATCCATTTTCGGACAGCACGAGATTACACTGTATACTTTTTCACACTACTGTCAATAATTAAATTCTGCACCCACAATCTATCTCCACTCTCTCTCCACCCACCTCACTTCCACAGCTCCACAAATCCACCACCACATTCATCCGCCGCCGCCGCCGCTGCCGCCGCCGGAAAATCAGCGATGAAGACGCAGAGCAAAGTTCAGCACCGATCCCCATCGAGAAAATCTCCCAGATTCTCATCTCCTTCGTCCACTCACGTTTCGGCCCGATCTGAGCCCAAAACCAGAGTCAAAGCCAAATCCCGGCCCGAATACGCCTTGGCCCTGTCCCTGCATGTGGTGGAGCAGGTTCCCCTGGACGCCTGCTATCCTTCTGACGAAGATAACAAACCCATCCGTAGATCGTCGAGATTCACCGCCAACAAGTACAGAACTCCGCCGTCGGAGGCCGCCGGACCAAAATCCCGTCCTGCATTGACTTTGACGTGCGGCGAGAATGTGGGTCCCGGCGAGAAACGGCTCTTGCTTCTGGAGTACGGAGAGGATGCGGGTCGGGTTCGGAAGAGGGCGAGAGTGGATCCGGGCCAAACGGTTCTGAGGAGGTCTTACAGGTTGAAAGAGGGTGTGAAAGGAAATTCGGCCCCCACTCGACTGCTGGCATTGCCCGAGTCGAGTGGCAAAGCTGCGAAGAAGTGCTTTTTGAGCGAGAAGTGCTTGCGGTCGAGGAGCGTTTTGATGCATAAGGTGGAGAAGGCTTCTACCAAGGAACATTGTTATGATTTAAGCTTAAAGTGCTTATCGGGGCCTCCTTTGATTAAGCATGCGTCGGCAAAATCGCGCGAAGTTAAGGAGAAAAGGCTTTCGACAAGTGGTTCTAGTGGGAAAAGTAGGTCCAAGAAAAGCGGTGGAGATTTTGGCGTAAATGGGAAGACTTTAAGGTCTGAGGAATCGGGGCTTGCTTTAATTGAGTGGTCCGGAAGTTCGAGGAATATTGAGATGCATTCATTGTCTGAAAAAAGTACACTTTCAGACAAGGAATGTTCGAGGTCGGCAAGAAGTGCGAGAAGGCAATTGCGGAAAGAAATGTCGGAGGGAGGTAGTTCTGTGATTGAATTGCCTGAAACCTCAATATATCCGAGAAGTAGATCAAAGAAGTCTCGTAAGGGTCATGATGGCAGCTCAAAAAGTGAGAAAATTGCGGCTGCAAGTGAGGAGAAACGCTTAGAGTTGAGAAATGTTGAAATGCATGTGCAGAAGGAAAGCTCTGAGAGAGAAGGTTCTGAGTTGAATGAGAACGGCTTACGGTCTCCGAAAATAGAGTCGATTCTAAACGAACTGTTTGGTGCTACTGACGAGATGGATGCGGAGAATTGTGATTCTGATGTGCAGAGTGAAAAATGCCTTAAGTCTCGCAATGTTGAGTGTGAAGAGAACACAGATGAAAAATATGGGAAATCGACGGATGGAGTTGAACGGCCGGGTTCTTCCAGTAGAAAAGGTAATGCCGGTAAAAATGTACAAGAATCTGAGGGAAAGGAGAAGAAAGTCGTGTGCTGTTTCGTAGGGGAGCCAATTCCGGAAGAAGAAGCTCGGAAGAAGTGGCAGTGGCGATACGATTTAAAGGTAGATTATTGAGTGCTGATTTCAGTCGACTAATTGTCCCAGTGATTCACATTATTGCTTCTGACACCGATTTATTTTGACTCAGCAGAGCAAGAAAAAAGGCAAAGGCTGGAAAATAAAGTGAGTGAACTCTAAGAAACATACCCATCGGGTGGTAACACATTGTGGACTCTTCCTCGGTGTAAACTTACACGTTCATTCATCTCCGTTTTCTTATGATTTGTATATTCTCTGTTTACAGTGCGGATGGAGAAGATGAGATCGTATTGAACGTGTCTTGCCATTATGCTCAAGCCAGAGTTGGTAACTGTCTTCTGGATATCGGAGATTGCGTGTATGTAAAGGTAATTTTTCCTCTCTTATGCACCACTATCGATGCTTTTCTTTTTCCATTTTGTTTTTAATTCAGGCTGAAAGTGTTTATCTTCATTGTACTAGTTGTAATATGATAAGGATTCTCTTTTTATTTTTATCATTCCGAGTCTGTATGTTATTCTTTCTTAAATTTAATTAATCGATTTGATTACTAAATATTCAGAGTCTCTAACCAACAAGTATGTGATTAGCTAGCTACCACTTATATTGCTATGGTTTAACATTTGCAAGATTGATGTCCTACGCAATTCGTTCAGGGTGAAGGAACAAAGAAACACATCGGTCAGATATTGGAATTTTTCAAAACAACACTAGGCGATGACTACTTTAGAGTCCAATGGTTTTTCAGGGCTGAAGATACGGTTAGTAACTGCTATCATAGTTGATGCGCTTAACATTTTTATTTAGTTTCAATCGTTATCTTATCTCGTTGCCCTTTGGATTTTCTATGAATCAGGTCCTCAAGACCACTGCCTCATCGCATGACAAAAGGCGGTTATTCTACTCCACTTTGACGAACGACAACTTATTAGATTGCATCATATCAAAAGTTAATGTTGTTCAAATACAGCCCACGGTATGTTGTTTGCGTACACTAAATATTGCTGTGCAAGTCCTTTTTATTATCACTTACCAATATTATACCCATTTACCTTTATCATTCTGATTGTTTTATCTTGTTTGTACTTTAGGTATCCCTAAAATCGAAGAATATTCAGTCAGCTGCATTTTATTATGACATGGAATACTGTGTGGATTATTCGACATTTCGAACCTTGGTTGAAGGTTTGTAGTTCACTTTATACAAAGCTAGTTCCTTTCTTGATTCCCTTGCAAGTAACTGCTGATTTGATCTCAACAGACATTTTCGAACTTCCTACCGAGAGCCAATCACTTTTGTCGAATTTGACCTGTCTTGATGAAAAACCGATTACTGTAATGCCCTTGGCGGTTTTGCCGGATATTAAATCTACAGAACCAGAATTGGCCTTACTTGATCTCTACTCTGGCTGTGGTGGAATGTCAACTGGACTATGTCTTGGCGCCAAACATTCTGGTGTCAATCTCGTGACGGTAATATCAATCTTTGACTTCCATTGTGTTTCTTAGGGTTGAATAAAAAAAGCTTATCGATCAGTCACTCATGTTTCGTTTCCTTTGATTTCAGAAGTGGGCTGTTGATTCGAGTAGCGCTGCATGTGACAGTTTAAGGCTTAACCATCCAGAAACCCGTGTAAGTTTACTCTACTTCAATACATCCCTGCTTAGCTTACTTTGTTAACTGTGTCAAGGTACAAAAGATCTCCGTTTTAACTCTCGATTTTTCTGCAGGTTAGAAATGAATCAATTGATTGTTTTCTGAAGCTATTAAAACATTGGGAGAAATTGTGTAAAATGTACGTGTCCGACTTAGATAGAACTCTTAGATGTGAATTAGAGGATCCACTGGAAGCTGAAGCCAATACGACTCAATCAGCAGAAGAGGAACCTTCTGGAGAATATGAGGTTTCGCGTCTAGTCGATATTTGTTATGGAGATCCAAACGATACTGGAAAGTGTGAGCTACACTTCAAGGTATATGAGCAGTGACTAATCCTTTCATAGTACTAGAATGCTCACATAAAATCTTTCCAGTACACTTCCCCAAGCACGCTATTTATCGAATTCACGAATGCATTCGTTATCATTTGAAGTAGGCAATTTTGCATTATTATTGTATTTGAATATCCCATTGTGAGCCATATACATCAAATCAGTCTCAATCATTTTTGTAGGTACGTTGGAAGGGATACAGCCCAGATGACGATACGTGGGAACCAATCAATGGACTGAGGTCAGTCTCCTAAAAGACTAATCAGCAACTACACTTAAAAAGGCTAATCACATCTTTCCATATGTGTAATGAGCCTTACTTATACTATGTTTCAGTAACTGCCGAGAGCGCATACGAGATTTTGTCGTCAAAGGGTTCAAATCCAAAATCCTCCCTCTCCCTGTGAGATAATTTCTATTTTCCATTTCCAATAATAATAATAATTAAAAAAAAATTGAATTCCATATTTTTTTTCTCTGCCAATTATATTCCAGGGTGATGCTGACGTCATCTGCGGCGGCCCGCCTTGCCAGGGCATCAGCGGCTACAACCGGTACCGCAACTTCGAGTCCCCGCTGGCGGACGAGCGTAACCGCCAGATCATCGTGTTCATGGACGTGGTGGAGTTCCTGAAGCCGAGGTACGCCCTGATGGAGAACGTGACGGACATCATCCGCTTCGACGGCGGCTCCCTCGCCCGCTACGCCCTCAGCCGCATCGTGCGCATGCGCTACCAGGCAAAGCTCGGCACCGCCGCCTCCGCCTGCTACGGCCTCCCTCAGTTCCGCCTCCGCGTCTTCATTTGGGCCGCCGCCCCTTCCCAACGCTTGCCCCCCTTCCCCCTCCCCACCCACGACGTGGCCTCCGTCCGCTGCTGGCCCCCACTCGAGTTCGAGCGCAACCTCATCGCCCACGACGAGGGTGGGCCCCGCCTGCTCGAGCCCCCCGCCGTCCTCCGCGACTCCATCTCCGACCTCCCGGAGGTCGCCAACGACGAGGCTAGAGAGGAGATGGCGTACGACAAGCCTCCAGAGACGGAGTTCCAATCCTACTTACGGTCGGGGAGTCGTGGTGAGATTCTGTACGACCACAGGCCATTGCGGTTGTCGGAGACAGACTACATGCGCGTGTGCCTGGTCCCGCGGAGGAAAGGGGCGAGTTTTCGGGATTTTCCGGGGATTGTGGTGGGGGAAGACAATGTGGTACGGAGGGTGGAGGGCTCGGTGGTGCTGCTACCCAATGGGAGGCCGCTTGTGACGGACGGCGTACTGAACTTCGAAGGGGGGAAGTCGAGGAGGCCGTATGCGAGGGTGTGGTGGGATGAGACTGTGTCGACTATAGTGACGTTCCCGCACGTAAGGGCGCAGGCGATCCTGCACCCGGAGCAGGACAGGCTGCTGACGGTGAGGGAGTGCGCGAGGCTGCAGGGGTTTCCAGATTATTACAGGTTTTGCGGGACGATCAAGGAGAGGTACCGACAGATTGGGAATGCGGTCTCGGTTCCGGTGTCGAGGGCGCTGGGGTATGCGCTGGGGATGGCGTGCAGGAAGGCGGTTGGTGAAGGGCACTTGATGTCCTTGCCACCCAAGTTTTGCTGTCAGCTCGACTTCTGTTCAGGGGAGTGATTGTGCTAAGGGTTGAGGGGGTTGATGCTTTTATGCTTTACAATTTTATTTTATTTTTTTTTTTTTTTTTCAGCGGTTGTTATGTTAGTTCTCTAGAATTTATCAATGTTGTAAAAGTCTAGACAGCGGAATGGAGCCCAGGCGCTTATGCGGGGGCTCGAGACACTGGTGATATCGTAAAAATATTAATAAATTTATTTAAATTTATAATCGTGCATAATTGATAGGTGCATAATCGATAGTTGAAAAATATGCACGTTTAATAGTATATTTATATACGCTTAATTTAATCACACGTTTGTATTTTTTGACTAATTTATTATTTGAATAGATTTACTTACTTTGATATTTTATGTGTCATTTTCAATAATTTCGGAGTATTTTGTGGATTTGATACATTGGATGGACTACACGTAATAAATTATCATGGCGTCCAATACCCGTTAATTTGGTCCATGTATTAGCATTAAATTGAGGCCCAATTTGCAGAGTTTATCAAGTATACTAGCTCAAGATCTATTAAATAATTGGGTCAAGATATTAATTAGATTTCCCTTGTAACTCACACAAATGGCTGACTTTGCATGGTAAGAGGATCTATCATTTCGAACAAAAAA